TTACATAAGGCAGGGTTGTCAGTGGTCTACCCTACTGCATGACAGGTTTAAAATTAATGGAAGTAAGCAGAAAATACCCCAACTGAGAACTTCTTCTTGCTGATGATCTTCACAGCAAACTTTTGACAATCCCCTCTGCTGAATGCAAGTCGGACTTCACCACAAGCACCACTAAAAAAAAGGAGACAGGGCCAGGTTATTAAAACTGATATGGATGAATGACAGGTGTTACAAAATTTTATGCACAGCTACAGTACTAGTAGAGGACATTGTTTTATTCCTAGACTTTCACTCAACTAAACAGGGACTGCTATTGATAGATTCTTAGTCACTGATGGCCTTGACTAAAATCAAATGTAGATTGGGATACATTTGAGCAATTGTAGCCTGCTCGGGAGACATTACAGCACATGATCAAAGCATGGTGGAAAGTGGCGTGACAGAAAGTGGAAAAAACACTGCCAGTTTTCAATAAACAAAACAACACAAACATGAAGCCTCAAGCTAAAAAGCAACAATTTTCAAAGCTATCCCAGAAGAGAAACAGCAGCTGGTGGAGGAAAATGATGCAGATAATATAAGGAAAGTGCTTTGTAAATCATTCATTCAGAGGTTTTGAGAATTAAATTTGTGTTCTTATGTGTACTGAGTCGACTGTTTTGATTTGCTCCTGGCATTCTTTTGTCACTGTTGAATTGAAAGTCTATCTAGAAATATAACAAAATACTGTACTTAATGTCAGGTCCCTCAGGAAACAAGCTAGATTGGTTTTCCCTTGAGTCCTGATGTTTCCCTTGACTTTGTCTTGGGCAAACAAAACTAATTGTTCCCCCAAGATCCCACATTAAGTGTGTAATATTGCCCTTCATAGAACAAAAACGTATAAATACTGATCAAAGTCAGAGAGCAAAATTTAATCAGTAAAATCCCTTTTTTACTAACTCACCGCCCGATGGTTTTGGACATAATATATTTCTCCTTTAACTCCTGCAATTAACACAGATGTATTGAACAGATTAAGTTAAGGTTAATGTTTACTATAATGGGTAACCATGACTTTAAAAGCAAGTTGTCATAATGACTGTTACTGACTTTACCTCGGGTAGAGACTTAAATTCTTCATCAGCTTCAAGTTGGCTGATGTTTTGAAAAACGTAAGCTGCAAATTAAAAAAAGCAAAAAAGTCTCCTATTTAATTCTTGTAAAAAAAGTATGTTTTTCGAATACTGCACTGGACTTGTTGCAGGACACACAAAATAAGGATGAGCTGTACTTGCTGGTTGTTGAAAACTGGAGTTAGGCTGGTAACTCTAAGCAAAAAAGCATGCTAAACCACTTAAGCCAACCTTACAGGTTTAATATCAAACTTTCAAAAGCCAGTAGATAGCTAGAGTATTAGCAGATTAGAAAAAACCCTGATTATTCTATGATCCAGTTCATACACTGTGCTTCTGCCATGCAGAAGGTGATATTATAATAATTCATGGATTCTGCAGAAGCATGATGGAAGCACTACTTCAATTTAGACATCCTGCCAGAGTCAAACTAAATTGTCTATGTAACATCAGGTCAGTGGTCATTGAAACAAAAAAATGGAGGGACCACAAGCCCTGCAAAAATAAATTTGTATACACTTGGGTCTGTTCCTTTAGTATTTAAGATGATTTTCAAGACTATATAATTATATACCAAACCAAGTATAAGATGGCAGAATTCAAATAACAGAATGCAAATGATGTATCTTAAGATTGACAACTAAGGTTTAAGAAGTAAACAATCATATTATTTACCAATCTTTTCCCCATTTACAAATGTTCCATTAGAACTGAAAAAGAATGATTGACAAGTATGGGTAAATAACAAATTACCTGGAGGCACATCACAATAACAATCAAGATATTTCTTTGTCTTAGCTTCGAAACCAAGAAAGTTTGACAAACATGTGTAAGACTCTAGACGAAAATAGCTGTTCTCCTTGTTTTAAGAAGTGTTCTACTCACCTAAGGTCAGTTATAAATACATTGAATGATGTCCGTTCTGAATTCCATTCCTAAAATAAATATATTAAGAATACTTGATTTCAGCGAACATTGTACTTCTGGTATATTAAGAAATTATCTACCAGTATTTTTATAAGATCTTTGGATAAAATTTCTAAACAGACATCACTTTTTCTAACCATAGCATAAACAAAAGTAAAGAGCATGATGGAAAGAGACAATTATTAATCCCTCTTCGCACTCTTTGCGTAAACAAATAATTTGAAAAAACCTAAGCTTATGAATGGTAGCCAACTAATATCATGAGCCTTATAAGCCTCAATGACATGTGTATTCAAAATAATTTTTAATTCAAAATGGACACCTCTTCAAAGACAGACACCTAGAGGTGGTCCCTTGGACCCTGCCATTTTTGAGACACCTCTATGAGACCAACAGTTGGTTTGGTGCTGATGCTGGCTGTTTTAGAGAAAGTTGACTATGAACATAAACAAAAATATAAAAGAACTTCCATTAATAAGGTCTATAGCTTGGAGCTGACAATGGTTTATTAAATTCAGTTGGGGGGCTCAAAGAAAGTGGGGATGACAAAAACAACAGTGTTTGACTGGAAAAGGAAAGTCAGGTTTGGTTCAATTTATTTGCAAGAGGGATAGAAAAACTGAAGGTTTAAGAAACTGAGATTCAACTGCATGAAAATCTTTTGAAACTGTGTATTAAAAGTGCAGAGAGGTTACTACTTCAGGACTCAAATAACTAAATTTAAGATTGATGTGTTTTTAAGTTTTATATGTCAATGACTGTACAGTATAATATCAAGTAACATACCCTATATAGCTTGAAATGCTTTGTGCTGATTGCTTGGTAGTTTGGATTTCTTTTAAAATACCGTGGTTGATAACAGAAGTCATTGTTTGTGCCACGACCAAAGAAGTTCACATCCTTTTCAAGATCTAGAGTGCAATCAATACAAAGAAATATTTTCTTGCAGCAGAGCAGGATTATAAATAGGGGGAGGAGAGAGAGAAAGGACAGTGGATTAAAATGTTGGCTGCTAATCTTTAAGAATCTGGATCACGTTTGTACTGTTACACAATGATGGCCCAGTATTAGGGATGTACATGTATCTTTTATCAACTTATGGCTCAGGGAGTTCAAAGAGTGCTTCCCCCCCACCTCCCCACCTCTTAATTCCCGGACTTTGCCTGTCTTCCCGAAATTTGACTCCATTTGTCAAGTTGTGCGTGTATACGTGTAAACTACTCTAGCTTTATTTTTCCAGTGGCACTTCCACTCATCTTCACTTGTGTCAAGGCAATTGTAAACAAACACGAAAATCAGTAAATAATTATATTAAAAACAAAGTTAGTGAATACAGCGTGCGCGCAGTCGCGCAAATAAGCTTAGCAAATCACGCGAATATTCAGCTTGGTATAAAGTTGGTATTTATTGCGGCCCATCTAACATTTTGGAGAAAATGTTGCTTTAGTTTTACATGCTATTAAATTAAATTAGTAAAACAATGTTCCATGGCAGTGACCTCAGCAGTTACATTCTTGTTACAAGTACAAATCAACTTACCGACTTTCTCGAAGCCAATACCCAGGGGAAACAATCTCCCCCAAATTGAGATTTTCGCCTCGTCCTCGTCTGACATTCCGTCCAACATGTCCTGAGTGGGAAGAGTAGGAGCTGTGCTACCAGACTCCATACTCGCTGAAGATGGAACGCTTTGAGAGCCTGAAGAAGCTCCAGTGCTGCTGGACGTTGTGTCGGATGTCTGGTTTTCAGCCATGTTTTTTTGCTCCAAAACGAGTGGACGAGATTCTCATTTAAAGACTGGGACTGAGCGCTAAGTTTGGCGGGAAATGCAGGAGAGCAACCTGCTTTGCAATTGGGGTGTGGTCACACTGCTATACTTAGCAAGTCAATGTATCAGAGCTTGAGGATCTCACCCTTTCTTGTAGAAGTAGTACATTATTTATCCATAATGTACGAATGAACCCGCGCCACACGTGCGATTCAAAATCGCAAACCTTACGTACGCGCTACCCGTTCCAGTCCACCGGCAGACCGACTGAAACAGCTGGTCGTTTCGCGTTTACATGATAACGTTGCGAGGTTTCGTACCGGAGTCTCCGGGATGAGCCCACGCCGGGGTGACTCGCGCCGGCATGACATGTTGTGGTGGTATCGTGTAAACAAATATAGAGCCATGAGAGGGAACCGGAGTGAACTCGCGCAGGCACGAAAGTCGCCTCGGTGTCATGTAATCACGCCCTTTATACAATAAAAACTTCCTCTCGAGTAATGATATGATCAACATGTCACGAGCACACGACAAAGAAAAAATCTGAGTCCCCGACAGGAATTGAACCTATGACCTTTCCTACACCGGTCGGATGCTCCTGAACCACTGAGCTACGAAGGACTCGTGGCAGCTGGGCCATATCCAAGGTTCATGTCTGACATGGGTCCTACGTACTGCTAGGATCAGATATGTCGAAATCGTCATGTGTGTGAATTGCCCCGGCCTGTCTTGTAGGGAACTGAACATTTTTAAAGTTATCCAACGTTTTCAAGTTCGACTGTGACTTTAAAGAAGAATCGCTCAAACATCCAAATCATGGTTCCCTGCCAACTTGGAGCATTCTGAGGTCCATATGTGCAAAAGGGAGTGTCATTTTGAAGTAAAGCATTTCAAAGGAGCCTGTTTTCAAATACACTCTTTATCATACGAAAAATCAGCTGGATACTTCAGGGGTCCTTTAACAGGGATCTAAGCTGTCGAATCTCAATACAAAGAAAGCTCACTCGGCTCTCTACCAATGAAACTGATTGAATTGCAACCAATTTCACTTGACCCTAAGATATTTCACATACTAATTAAGCGGTATTCTTATTAAACTTGTAAGTTGGCTTTACTGTTAGCCAAGGTTTAAAAAAAAAACTAGTAAAGGGATACAGCGGTAAAACTAACAAAAGGATATTATTTTTGTTACAATAAGCTTGTAATGTTTATTGAGAGGATTTTATTTTATATGGTACATTATTTACAGAATACAGTAATAATTGTAAATAATATTGTCTTAGGAATATTACTACAGAGCTTTTTACCCGACATTTTTTGTTCTTCCTAAAGATTAAGCTAATAACCTTCAAAAGATTAAAATTATTTTGGCATTAGAGTGGCTATACATAATCAGGTTCAAAACAAAAAAAGTTTCCAAAATGTTTTCAAAGCAAAAGCAATCAACACAAGGATGATAAAAGAACAGATTAAAAACCCAGCTCAAACAGTTTTACTTGCAAATTAAATCATTACAAAATTCTGAGACCCAACTTAGACTTAAAGACTCCAGTAAACTGATATTCTTCTGAATTACTTCATTAATGTGGAACATGATTAATCTGTTTGCGGAGTTCCATGCACTGATCTTGGTCAATAAACAAACTATTGGCTTTCATTTCGATGTCTTCCTCCAATGAAAGCTGCTTTCTGATAAGTCCCTTGAGTGATGCCTCAGCATCAGCAAGCTTCTCCTGTAACCTTTCAATGTTGGTTGAGATTTCAAAGACTTCTTCTATCAGGCGATACTGCACACGATCTCTGCACAGCTCCACATTAGGTCTAAAGGTTCTGTTGTCCAGGCGTGTCTGTGAGACTTTCATGGGGGCCTCTTTATTAGCTATGGCTTTCTTAAGCATTGCGATGTTCTGCTCCATGGCAGCAATTTCTTCCATGACCTGGTTATTTAACGAAAAAAATTGCTTAGCGACTGCAAACTGAATTTCATAGCACTTACACTGTATAGCACAATAGAGGGGAGAAGTGTGACATCACATCACCATGGTAGCAAATTTTGTGTATGCATGTCAAAAATATTTCTGGACAGAGGCCATTAGCATTGTTGAATGATGGTAAAAAAGTATGAGCTACTGTTTTGTTCCAGAGTGCAATAATGCACAGGAAAGTCATACACGTCATTCTTTTCATTTTTTTCTTACCATATCTGTAGGACTGGGTTGTTCTGATCCAGAAATTTTGCTACCACAGCAAAGTGATGTAATTTCAAGGAATGAGGACCAAAATGCCTATGCTGATTTTTATTTTGCTTCAAACGGCCGATTATTTTTGTATGTGATCTTCACATCATTTAATGAACACTGTCTGAAGCTATGGGTTTTTCTTACTGTAATAGAAATAATATTGTTGCTTAGCTACTGTATTGCAGTATGGATATTGTTCATTATACTTTTCAGAAATGTTTTAATTAACTCTGATCACATCATTCACTATACACAAAGAAACCACCAGGAGCTTTTTCCTGTCTATATTTTCAACATTTGACAGAGAAGCCAGAACAAACAATAATAATCTAGTGTTGCTGCAATCTCCTTTTGGAAGACGCAAAGAAACTGGAGTCTTCTTTTTAAGTCATCCATCTAAGGTTTGGTAAAAGGAGGGAAAAAGTTTTAAAATTTTAGAAAGTATTATTTGAGAATTTTAATTGTATGATGTAGTTTGCATGGACATATTTAGGGTTTGGCTGAGCAGACTGCAGCCACCCCTTTTCCTGTAAAATTTTGTGTTATTTTGTAAAATAAAAAGTACCTATATACACGGCAAGTGTCCTGGCCACCCCTTTCTGAATTTTTGGATCCACCCCTGTTTTGAAGATTTTTTGTTTGGAAAAGAACTTGCGTGTGGCAAGCATGTGCAGTGTTTAATGTTAAAAGGAGGTGCCAGGAATGGCAGAATGTACTGGTACCCACAAAATAATGTAGAAAAGGGGCAGAATGTTAATCTGAAGACCCAGTATTTTGATCTCTTCCTAGAGCCAAAAGCACCTTAAAAGAAAATGATACCCAAGACCCACCTTTTCTAAATGTTCCTCTAATTTTGTCTTTGCCTCACTAGTTTCTTCAATGCGCTTCTGGAAAGCAAGATTGACAGCTTCACACTGGGCCTGAAGATCACTCAATGTCTGCATCAGTATACCATCTATTATACTGCGTAGATTGATGGCTGAGTTCTTCTCACGCTCTGCCTTAAGAATGTTCTTGTTTGAAAAATCTTCCCATTCATCCGGCGTTACAGAACTGTAAATGACACAACAAACCTGTCAGGACTTTCAAAAATCTTAGTTTATCAATCACTTTCACTTTGACAGCTTAAGTCATTAACACCATTATGCATGCAAGACAATAAGACAAAATAGTAAAAATATATACTCTTTGCTGTGAAATTAACACTCTTGTGATTATCAGTGCTTTAACAGTGTATAAATTTCTAAAAGACACAACATCCATATTATGATAAGCTTAGGGTGCAACTTCTGAAATTCACATCCACAGCTTATTTCAACCCCAGGGGGTGAGGCCTTCTTGATCCTCATTTGGGCAGGGTGTTACATGAACTAAAGGTTTGAAACCCCATCCCTGAACATCTAGTTCAGAACTCTCTTTAGGACACTGTCCAGACAAAACACATGCTCCAGTTTTTCCTTTTTGGAAATTAAGACCTTGTTTCGCTTGCCCTAACAAATGCTCTTCATGGAGAGTGATCATGCAAAACCAAAAAGGGAAAGCCCCATTCTCACCTCCCCAGGCTTTTGTTGCTGCTGTATTTTTTTGTGACATCACTACTGGGCTCAAAATAATGGCCTATAAACAGAATATGTCTAGCNCCTTTTCTAAATGTTCCTCTAATTTTGTCTTTGCCTCACTAGTTTCTTCAATGCGCTTCTGGAAAGCAAGATTGACAGCTTCACACTGGGCCTGAAGATCACTCAATGTCTGCATCAGTATACCATCTATTATACTGCGTAGATTGATGGCTGAGTTCTTCTCACGCTCTGCCTTAAGAATGTTCTTGTTTGAAAAATCTTCCCATTCATCCGGCGTTACAGAACTGTAAATGACACAACAAACCTGTCAGGACTTTCAAAAATCTTAGTTTATCAATCACTTTCACTTTGACAGCTTAAGTCATTAACACCATTATGCATGCAAGACAATAAGACAAAATAGTAAAAATATATACTCTTTGCTGTGAAATTAACACTCTTGTGATTATCAGTGCTTTAACAGTGTATAAATTTCTAAAAGACACAACATCCATATTATGATAAGCTTAGGGTGCAACTTCTGAAATTCACATCCACAGCTTATTTCAACCCCAGGGGGTGAGGCCTTCTTGATCCTCATTTGGGCAGGGTGTTACATGAACTAAAGGTTTGAAACCCCATCCCTGAACATCTAGTTCAGAACTCTCTTTAGGACACTGTCCAGACAAAACACATGCTCCAGTTTTTCCTTTTTGGAAATTAAGACCTTGTTTCGCTTGCCCTAACAAATGCTCTTCATGGAGAGTGATCATGCAAAACCAAAAAGGGAAAGCCCCATTCTCACCTCCCCAGGCTTTTGTTGCTGCTGTATTTTTTTGTGACATCACTACTGGGCTCAAAATAATGGCCTATAAACAGAATATGTCTAGCCAGAATGGTAACTTGTCCGGCCAAAAATTTCACGTGCCAGTCAAGTTGACCAGCAATGCACACTCTCATTCTTGAACAAACAGAATCAAACCAACCCTCACCTGTAAATCTAAGATTTTGTCTCTTTGTAAAAATACAAATAAAAAATTTCACAAGGATTTAGCTTTTTTCCCAATACATTTTGACTGGTCAGAAATGAAACTTTAATGAGCAAACATTTCTTCAGCCAGTCTTGTGTATGGCCTCCCAATCAAAAATTATTTCAAGCACTGTAACGTTAGGGCTCGAAATAATTTGAAATTCCCGACTCAGTAGCTTTCTATTAAATCCAAACTAATAAGCTCAAGGTAACTTTAAAACTTTGAAAACTTTAAGGCAGAAGTCCTTCTCAATATCAATATACAGACAGCCCTAAAGTCAATACCGGCTTACTTTTTTTCAACTTTCACTGCATCCTTGGAAAATCCTAGTCCAGGAGAAGTGTTCTCTAGTGAAGCACATGTATTGTCGATACCATGGGCCTTGAATTTATCCTTTCTGTCTTTTTCTAGGTAATATTTGGCTGATCTTAAAAGCCTGTTTTGCAGGATAAAAGTTAAACAAGAAAAATTAATCATTAAAGTAACTCTTTAAAAATCATAAGGTAAAGTACTTTAAGGAAAAAAAGCCCTGAGACACAAATTCCTCCACACATGAGCACATTGACTCCACTTTCCTTTAAGACAGTTCTGCCAGATTCTCTTTATGGTTGATCAGTTTATGTATATTATAACAGGAACAGGGATTCCCAACAGGTGTAGAGTCCATAGTGGTTTCCACTGTTTTCAAAAGATAATCACAGTTCCTATTACAACAGAGGGTACTAGGTCTCAGCATCTTTGAATGTCTCTATTTTTGTTGTAGTAACTGTTATTAAGGTATAAATGGATCTTCATCCAGGTTTTCACAGACTAGTTGGAGACTATACAACCTCCCCTAACATAATAAAGTTGAACCGCCATTAAGCAGCTACCCTCCATTTCGTGGCCAGTAATCAAAAACCTTAAATTATAGTACAAAAGAATGAGAAATTAAACTTCTATTAAGCCACTGCCTCTATTAAACAACCACAGCAACCTTTTTGCTGTTCCAATGAGAGTATTCCAATTGTTGTAACCTCTATTAAGTGGCCATCAAGCACTTGACAGACTATGGTTGGCTTTACTTTAAGAACATGATGAAGGAAAATATTATACTGTCCACGATAAAAGATGACGACCAATTATTGTGCACCAGTAATGCTGGCCCCATCACGTACATGTTTGCTTTAAAGATAATGCTAATGGGCGATTCCAGAAAATATCCATACCATACCACGGACGGCTTTTAGGATTTCCGAAGGGGAGGGGGGGTTCACAATGATGGAATTCTGAGGGCATGGGGGGTATTTACGATTGCAAATCCGAAGGCATGGGGGAATTTCACAGGTGGGATTTCTGGAGTAGAAAGTGTAGAGTGAGTTCTTTGAAAACGCTATTGTTGTGGACTTTTGTAGTTCGTAAATAAACCACGAACGTATGACCGCGGAAGCAGAAGACAAGCATCGATAGATCAGACACGTGTTTACGCTCATAACTTATAGAAGTGAACAGTAATAAGATTTTAACAGTCTGAATTTGAGCTATTTTGCTTTGTAAACGTCAAAACAGCACAAGAAAACAAAGAGGAGTAAAATTGCCGTTAGTGGTGTTTATTTTTATTGCCAAATTCGGACCTAAAAAGGAGTTTGCACAGCGCCTGGCTGGAGGTTAGAGTAAAGCTTGTCGCCTGGCGCTGCTAGATCACAGCCTTGAGGAGGCATAAATTCATGTTCGTTTGTTCATATAGGCGTTGCTAAGTCGAAAATGTACTTCCAAAAAACCGGAAATTCTGAAGGGGAGGGGGGGGTTCACGATTATGGAATTCTGAGGGCATGGGGGGGTAACACATTTTGGAATTTCCAAAGGCAAGGGGGGGATAAGACATGGAAGCCGTCCGTGGTTGGGTATGGATATTTTCTGGAATTGCCCAATTCATGACCTGGTTTAAGACGAACCTCAAGTGAGTGGCCAACCTCCATGAAACAGCCACTTGCCGGTACCCTGAGGGTGGCCACTTAATGGATGCGAAAGGTTCAACTATAACAGGTTTGAGTCTGTGGGCTATTTCATGAAAGCTCGACGCAAACCATAACAATAACACAAATAAAACAGGATAAAAATATTTATTCTATTATTATTATTATTATTGTATCACTGTTGTTGTTGCTACTGTTTGTGTTTGCCTGTGGCTAAACCTGTTGTGGGAGATCCTGTTTCATAAACGTTTGAGGAGGGAAAAAAACGCTAGCTTTATTATCCAATCTATGAGCAGATTAGCTTGCTTGGTAACCAAACATTTCCTTAATCATTCACTTTCTAGCAAAGAAAACAAATATTTAACCAAATAAATTACTTCTGATCTCATCACAAAGTTTTTTTTCTTAAAAAGCACTTCCCTCCAGCTTTTTTAAAATTCAAAAAATCACTCTGAAAGCTCACCTAATTTGCTCTGTGGCTTGTTCGAGAGTCCTCTGCAATAAAGCTTGGACGCCTTCAATGACTTCTACTTCCTATGTAAAATGGTGAAGTGAAAAGAAATTATTGGGAAATTCTTGATTAAAAATATCCAGTAGTTTCAGTGAAGAAACGGAGACTATTAGCAGAACAAAAAGACAAGCGCTAGTACCTTTAAGAGCTGCATTTCTACATTGTCGTGGACAAGATCCACCTTCATTCTCCTTTCCCGGTTGGCAAGACATTGTTGGGCGATCATTAGCGGCAATTCTGTGTCGGCTAAAGCTCGCTCTAGTCTTGCCTTAAACCGAAGCATAGTCGAGATTTCATCTTCTGTTTCCTCCTGCTTTTGATCCAACTCCGATTTTTCTCTGCACAGCTCCACATTAGGTCTAAAGGTTCTGTTGTCCAGGCGTGTCTGTGAGACTTTCATGGGGGCCTCTTTATTAGCTATGGCTTTCTTAAGCATTGCGATGTTCTGCTCCATGGCAGCAATTTCCTCCATGACCTGGTCATTCAATGAAAAAATTTGCTAAGTGACTGCAAGCTGAATTTCATAGCACTTACATTGTATAGCACAATAGAGGGGAGAAGTGTGACATCACATTACCATGGTAGCAAAATTTGCCAATGCATGTCAAAAATATTTCTTGACAGAGGCCATTAGCATTGTTGAATGATGAAAGAAAAGTATGAGCTACTATTTTGTTCCAGAGTGCAATAATGCAAAGGAAAGTTGCACACGTCATTCTTTTTGTTTTTTTCTTACCATATTTGTAGGACTGGGTTGTTGAGATCCAGAAATAGTGAACTTACGCAACAGGACGGGAGAGGTAAGAAGACGGCAAACCTTGTGTGACAAGCGTGACAATAATTTTGTTTTGAAATATCTTTTTGCCAAACTTCGCTTTCCTTTAAACTGATCTTGTTGTAAAAGACCAGAAAACATAAAATGTTAAGTAAAGTTAACGACAAAACACGTAAGTAATAACCCTGTCACGTTTGTCACAAGCGAGCATTTTGCAGTCCTCTTCTTCCTACCGTCCTGTTGCGTAAACTCACTAATTTTGCTACTACAGCAACCCGATGTAATTTCAAGGAATGAGGACCAAAATGCCTAAGCTGATTTTTATTTTGCTTCAAACGGCCGATTATTTTGCATGTGATCTTCACATCATTTTTTAATGAACACTGTCTGAAGCTATGGGTTTTTCTTACTGTAATAAAAAAATAATATTGTTGCTTAGCTATTGTATTGCAGTATGGATATTGTTCATTATACTTTTCAGAAATGTTTTAATTAACTCTGATCACATCATTCACTATACACAAAGAAACCACCAGGAGCTTTTTCCTGTCTATATTTTCAACACTTGACAGAGAAGCCAGAACAAACAATAATAATCTAGTGCTGTTGCAATCTCCTTTTTGAAGACACAAGGAAACCTGAGTCTTCTTTTTAAGTCATCCATCTAAGGTTTGGTAAAAGGAGGGAAAAAGTTTTAAAAATCTTAGAAAGTATTATTTGAGAATTTTAATGGTATGATGTAGTTTGCATGGACAGATTTAGGGTTTGGCCGAGCGGACTGCAGCCACCCCTTTTCCTGTAAAATTTTGAGTTATTTTGTAAAATAAAAAGTACCTATATACCCGGCAAGTGTCCTGGCCACCCCTTTCTGAAGTTTTGGATCCACCCCTGTTTTGAAGATTTTTTGTTTGGAAAAGAACTTGCGTGTGGCAAGCATGTGCAGTCTTTAATGTTAAAAGGAGGTGGAATGGCAGAACGTACCACAAAAAAATGTAGAAAAGAAGCAGAATGTTAATCTGAAGACCCAGTAATTTGATCTCTTCCTAGAGCCAAAAGCACCTTAAAAGAAAATGATACCCAAGACCTACCTTTTCTAAATGTTCCTCTAATTTTGTCTTCGCCTCACTAGTTTCTTCAATGCGCTTCTGGAAAGCAAGATTGACAGCTTCACACTGGGCCTGAAGATCACTCAATGTCTGCATCAGTATACCATCTATTATACTGCGTAGATTGATGGCTGAGTTCTTCTCNCCCTTTCTGAAGTTTTGGATCCACCCCTGTTTTGAAGATTTTTTGTTTGGAAAAGAACTTGCGTGTGGCAAGCATGTGCAGTCTTTAATGTTAAAAGGAGGTGGAATGGCAGAACGTACCACAAAAAAATGTAGAAAAGAAGCAGAATGTTAATCTGAAGACCCAGTAATTTGATCTCTTCCTAGAGCCAAAAGCACCTTAAAAGAAAATGATACCCAAGACCTACCTTTTCTAAATGTTCCTCTAATTTTGTCTTCGCCTCACTAGTTTCTTCAATGCGCTTCTGGAAAGCAAGATTGACAGCTTCACACTGGGCCTGAAGATCACTCAATGTCTGCATCAGTATACCATCTATTATACTGCGTAGATTGATGGCTGAGTTCTTCTCACACTCTGCCTTAAGAATGTTCTTGTTTGAAAAATTTTCCCATTCATCTGGTGCTACGGAACTGAAAATGACACAACAAACCTGTCAGGACTTTCAAGAAATCTTAGTTTATCAATCACTTTCACTTTGACAACTTAAGTCATTAACGCCATTATGCCAGCAAGACAATAAGACAAAATATTAAAAATATATACTATTAGCTGTGAAATTAACACTCTTGTGATCATCAGTGCTTTAACAGTGTATAAATTTCTAAAGACACAACATCCATATTATGATAAGCTAAGGGTAATTAACTTCTTAAATTCACATCCGCTGCTTATTTCAACCCCAGGGGGTGAGGCCTTCTTAATCAATATTTGGGCAGGGTGTTACATGAACTAAAGGTTTGAAACACTGTCCCTGAACCTCAAGTTCAGAACTCTGAAGCCCCATTCTCACCTCCCCAGGATTTCGGTGCTGCTATATTTTATTACATCACTACCGAGCTCAAAATAACAGCCTATGAACAGACTATGTCGAGAAAGAATGGTAACTAATGTCTGGCCAAAAATTTCACTCGCCAGTCATGTTGACCAGCAATGCACACTCTCATTCTTGAACAAATAGAATCAAACCTGAGTCCTCACCTGTAAAATATCTAAGCTTTTGTCTCTTTGTAAAAATACGGATAGAAAATTTCACAAGGATTAGTTAACTTTTTTCCCAATATATTTTGACTGGTCAGAAATGAAACTTTGACAAGCAAACATTTCTTCAGCCAGTCTTGTGTCTGGCCTCCCGTTCAAAAATTACTTCGAGCCCTGAAACAGTAATTAAATTACTGACTCAGTAGCTTTCTAATCCAAACCAACAAGCTCAAGGTAACTTTAAAAACTTTAAGGCAAAAGTCCTTCTCAATATCAATATACAGACAGCCCTAAAGTCAATACCACCTTACTTTTTTTCAACTTTCACTGCATCCTTGGAAAATCGTAGTCCAGGAGAAGTGTTCTCTAGTGAAGCACACGTATTGTCGATACCATGGGCCTTGAATTTATCCTTTCTGTCTTTTTCTAGATAATATTTGGCTGATCTTAAAAGCCTGTTTTGCAGGAAAAAAGTTAAACAAGAAAAATTAATCATTGAAGTAACTCTTTAAAAATGGTAAGGTAAAACTAATTTAAGGAAAAAAAGCCCAGCTGGGACACAAATTCCTCGGTACATGAGCAGATTGACTCCCCTTTCCTTTAAGACAGTTCCGTCGGATTCTCTTTATGGTTGATCAGTTTATGTATATTATAACAGGAACAGGGATTCCCAACAGGTGTAGAGTCCAGGGTGGTTTCCAGTGTTTTCAAAAGATAATCACAGTGCCTATTAAAACAGGGGGTACTAGGTCTCAGCATCTTTGGGAGTCTCTCTTTTTGTTGTAGTTGATAGGGTATAAATGGATCCTCATCCAGGTTTCCACAAGGGTATGCACTCAGAGACCATACTACCTCTTCAAACATAACAAAGTTCAACCTCCATTAACCAGCCACCCTCCATTTAGTGGCCAGTTATCAAAGTCCTGAAATTATTGTTGAAAAGAATGGGAAATTAAACTTCTATTAAGAGGCCAACTCTATTAAACGACAGCGGGCCCCCTTTTTGCTGTCCCAATAAGAGTTTTCCCATTGTTGTCACCTCTATTAAGTGGCCATCAAGCAATTGACAGACTATTGTTGGTTTTACTTTAAGAATATGGTGAAGGAAAATAGTCGACAATAAAAAATGACGACTGATTGTGAACCAGTAATGCTGGCCCCATCGAGCGCATGTTTGCTTTAAAATTTAGTGATGTTTCTGCTAAAGATAACGCTAATTCATGACCCGGTTTATGACAAACCTCAATTGAGTGGCCAACCTCCATGGAGCAGCCACTTGCCGGTCCCTGAGGGTGGCCACTTAATGGACGCAGAGGTTTAACTGTAACAGGTTTGAGTCTGTGGGCTATTTCATGAAAGCTCGACACAAACCATAACAACAACACAAATGACACAAAATTGTTTCATTGTCATTGACGTTACTCGTCTGCCTGTGGCTAAACCTGTTGTGAGAGATCCTGTTTCATAACCTTTGAGGAGGGGAAAAAAACGCTAGCTTTGTTATCCAATTCGTGGGCAGATCAGCTTGCTTGATGACCAAACATTTCCTTAATCATTCACTTTCCGGAAAAGAAAACAAAATTTTAACCAAATAAGTCACTTCTGATCTCATCACAAAGTTTTTTTCCTTAAAAAGCACTTCCCTCTAGCTTTTTTAAAATAAAAAAAAATCACTCTGCAGCCTCACCTAATTTGCTCTGTGGCTTGTTCGAGAGTCCTCTGCAATAAAGCTTGGACGCCTTCAATGACTTCTACTTCCTATGTAAAATGGTCAAGAGAAAAGAAATTATTGGGAAATTCTTGATTAAAAAATCTCCAGTATTTTCAGTGAAGAAACGGAGACTATTAGCAGAACAAAAAGACAAGCGGTAGTACCTTTAAGAGCTGCATTTCTACATTGTCGTGGACAAGATCCACCTTTATTCTCCTTTCCCGGTTCGCAAGACATTGTTGGGCGATCATTAGCGGCAATTCTGTGTCGGCTAAAGCTCGCTCTAGTCTTGCCTTAAACCGAAGCATAGTCGAGATTTCATCTTCTGTTTCCTCCTGCTTTTGATCCAACTCCGATTTNTTCCTATGTAAAATGGTCAAGAGAAAAGAAATTATTGGGAAATTCTTGATTAAAAAATCTCCAGTATTTTCAGTGAAGAAACGGAGACTATTAGCAGAACAAAAAGACAAGCGGTAGTACCTTTAAGAGCTGCATTTCTACATTGTCGTGGACAAGATCCACCTTTATTCTCCTTTCCCGGTTCGCAAGACATTGTTGGGCGATCATTAGCGGCAATTCTGTGTCGGCTAAAGCTCGCTCTAGTCTTGCCTTAAACCGAAGCATAGTCGAGATTTCATCTTCTGTTTCCTCCTGCTTTTGATCCAACTCCGATTTCCAGAAATTTATATCTGTGATTCGTTGTTCAAGCTTCTTGTTTACGTCTAGTTGGGTCTGTCTTGTTCGTACTTCTGTTTCATGGGCAAGCCGAAAGCTTTCATCTCGAAGCCTTTCAGCTGCTGCTCGCTCGTGTTCAGCATTAAAATACTGTAGATGGTTTGAGGTATGCCATTCTTCTGGAGTGTATTTCGGAGGAGGTTGTACTAATCTGGCCATCTTACTCTCTTTCGGTGAACTGCCCGATCACAATGAAACAATCTTGCTTTCAGTGCTCTTGTTGCGAGGGGTGTAAAACAAAGAACAGTTTCCTAGCAACGAAAAAAAATGAATTTGCGCCTTCAGATTCAGCGGTTACACACAAAAACCAAGATGGCGGCCGACTGCATACATCCGAAAGAGCTTCAAATTTGCAAAAGAAGATTGCGATTCCTGGAATGGAATCCTTCTGCTGAGACGAATGTAAACCCACAGCTGTCGTATGACATCATTCCCTTGTTTTTAGGCGCAGATGTTTTGTCTGGGTGTTCCAAAGCTGTCTCTAATTTGCCCAGAATGCATGCAAAATTCGCAAAGGAAGGGTTGGCTGTCAAGGTCAATTTTCCAGTCTCTGTGCGATTACAGGGAGTACATGGTTCTTCTCGTGGTATTTGGTTCTACTCTATTCAAGGACTTTTTAGAGTCTGCTTTGAGTACTATAACCGCAAAGAACAACTAGCATGCCTGTCACAACTTTTTCCCTTGTGGAAGGAGAGATTTTCAGATCCCCTCTTTCAACGAGAAATCAACCTTTTTAGGTTTGAGACTTCAAGCTTTGTGGGAATTTCTGAACAAGCACGTATGAATAATGCCGAGGAAGCAGAAGATACAAGTGTAATAAACACATCTGACTCAAATGACGATGGGAAAAACAATTTTTGCTTTACAGAAAGCAGATACACTCAAACTTCAGAACCTTACACTCTTGCTGTAAATTCTTTTCAGAAAGGAAAGGGTTCTTGTATAACACCAATAGGGAAACAGTGTATTGAGGAGATACAAAGACTTTATAAACATGAACACCAATCTGAATTTGATGCTCTTGCAGAAACTACAATGAGAATTTTGAGAGAGTTTGAAGCTCAACAGTCAGAAGGTCGTAGCAGATCATCTGGGATACTTTCAGCAATTAGCAAGATCCTTGGTGATGAATTGTACAAATTCCAATTGGAGATAAATGAAAGAGTTACTGAGTTCAAGAAAAGACATATTACATCAATCAACAACCTCCCACCATCTTCACTGCTTGTTAAAGAACTCTTCCCAGATTGTATGAGGCTGTTGTTGTTACACTGGATGGGAAACAAGGATGGGGAAAATGTAAACAGTATTATCCAGGTTATTCTGGAGCTAGTTAATACAAGCCTTGTATCAGGTGTAGCTCATGTACTTTATTCAAGACTGATCCGAACAGATACAGTGTAGTCTGTTAAAATTGCAGATAATGTAGTAAGTTCTTGCAGTCTGTTTTTCTCTTGAAATAATCCCTCTTGCTAAATAATCTAAAAGGAAAATAACTGGGACAAGAAGGATGGGCTTGTGAATGCTTCAACTTGATAAACAACTTGGTGGATATAATTTTTAAAAAGAAAAGGCATTCTGCATTGTGCAAGCAGTGTAGAATTTAATTGAACTCTGTTAATAGCACTCACTTAAATGCTCTTTTTTTACCTTCTTTACTGACTAAAAAGTGTCATAATATTACATCACTTAGAAAATAATGTTCAATTTTACATCATATATTGTTATAAGGCCATGATTCTATCTTTTTACATTAAATACAAATAATATCATAAATACTGTAGACTCTCTTGTAAAAGAAATGACTTTGTAAAAAATCTTTTTAATAATTTACAAGCTCTTTGTAATACATATCAACAAATCAGCCATCCCTTTTGTGTAGCTAAACGCATAAGGTTGCCTATACAATATGAGATTTTTCATTGAACTCTTGGCTTCGGTTTTCATGAGCAAAACTGCAGGGTAGCAAAATCACACTAGTACATCAGGCTTGGAATTTACATTAATTTAACTGGATTTAGTATGTACAGTACTTTAACTTAAAGTTGGCCTTGTAGTATAAAAGTACATTAGAAATACTATTTTAATGACAATTTTAAGATATATTGTCAGTTGTTTCTGTTTTGTTTTGTTTTAAATATAATATAGTATTGATTTTTGAAGTCTTTTGCAGTTTACTGTGGCCTAAATCCCACCTCTTCCACATCTTGTTCCTGCAGCTCTTGCAATTCAGTCAAGTCATCAAACTGCTGCACATGAAATTTAGAGATTTGGTGACCAATCATTATTCTTAACACTCTGTATCCTTGGATTGTCTCAAATAGAACAAACAAGGTCATTATGATGTTGACAGCTCTCTCCATTGGCATAATCAACATGCTTTCATTCAGCAACAACATCAGTGTAAGTGGAAGTTGTAAAACAAGGGTGATTATCCAAAAGCCAGCCAATTCAGGTACCTGATGAAAGTTTAAAAAAAGTTTTGTAATAAAGATCAATCAAACTTCTCTTAAATAACCACCCAAAAATTGGCTACGAGTGGTAAATTACCAAGGAGAGTTAGTCACAAATGGGATGTCTTAAAACAAATTAATAATAAAGAAAGAAAGAAATCTAGGTTAAATTTCAGCCCTTGCTTAAGCATGGTACTTCCTTCTATGTTTATGGTTAGTTTTGGATGTGTTTCTTTAAACAGCAGCTGATAGTAACTGGTCAGTGTTTATTCTACTATAAGCAGTTGCACAAACCTATTGTAAAATTGCAGACTTGCTAATCATTTAAGCAAATTTCTTCCATTTTCTAACCCATCAATTACTGGTTTCCCTACTTGGACCCATTGTACTGTGCGCAGCAAGCAGGCATTGGACGTTCTGAAATGGCCCACCTTGGAGGACCGCCGACGTCAATCTGTTTTTAAACTCGTTAAGAAATGCCTGCAAGGTCAATGTCCCCAGTATTTTAAACATTATTTTAAACGTAATAATACAATCCATGCGCGCGCTACTAGACAAAGCAACCTCTTACATCCGCCTGCTGTGAGAACTGAAATTGCAAAAAGATCCTTCTATTATTATGGTTGCACTCTTTTTAACGAATTATCTTAATGATATTTCGTGTTTTACATCTTTTAATCTTTTAATTGAAAATAGTTTTCTATTTATATTATTACCAGTATTAGTGTAATGTTTATATGTTTAGTGTGTTTTTGTGCGTTGTTGCTCAGGGCTCCCATTGATAACAGACAGCTTTTTGCGTCTGAAGGGGCTACCCTGAGCGGTATAAATTAATAAAGGTTCTTCTTCTTCTTCTTCATAATTCAAATGGCAGGTGGTGGGACAAAGTTTTCGCCAGTGAATAATAATGCATATTGGTTTTCCCAATACTTATCCACCGGATGGTTATCTAGTGGATAGTACCATCCAAGTTTTGAACAACCAGGCGCTACAACCAGGTACAACCTTGGGGAGCAAAGGTGGCACAGTGGTGAGAGCACTCGCCTCCCACCAATGTGGCCCCAGTTCAAATCCTGGTGTCGACACCATATGTGGGTTGAGTTTGTTGTTGGTTGTCTCCCTTGCTCTGAGAGGTTTTTGTCCGGGTACTACGTTTTCTCCTCTCCTCAAAAACCAACATTTCCAAATTCCAATTCGACCAGGAATAAAGTAGACGAAGAACTACTATGTGGATGTGCTACCTTGAAATCGTTATTTAATTTTAAAAATTTATTTATTTACTATAGCCACTTCAATGGACAGTAACATTCCCAGGTATAAAACCTTAAGTCAAAGCACAGCAAAGTTGAGGTGTTTGACTCACCTTTTCCTGAAGATTTCCAGCATATCCCAGATAAAGTCTGGCTATTTCCAAAACCGCCATGGTGATATAGATGACTATCGTTATGAACTTGTAAACTGAGTCAAGCTTTGAATACTAAAAAGACCAAAATTGCATATCAACATGCATGCATCATCTTTATAACAAAAAAAAACTAGTGCAAGGCTTGAAAAAATAACCTGTCTGGTTGTCTGGTATGGGACCAACAAATTTTCCTGCTGGGGCCAGTAACTTTTGCTGCTGACTTGTTCAATAGGCAAAGGCCTCCCCAGAAAAAGTGTAGAACAGCTCCACCAAAATCTGTAGAAACAGTACTTGAAAATCTGCTAATCTAATTACTTAGGCTGACGAAAACTTGTGTTAAACAAAATTGATTCACAAGATTTACTGAGCAAAAATGTTTCTCATGACTTCCTCTTCAGTGAATTAAATTTTAGCTTAAGTCGTCTGCTTACAAGAAAACAAATTATTTATAGTTGACAGGAAGAAACAAAAGCTGGGAATGAGATTTTCAATAGTGGTGCTGAAGATCAGCCAAAAAATATGTGCTAGTCCAGAACTCTGAGACCTTGGCCTGGTGAACTAGTAACATCAGCTACCCCACGATCAGGGAAAAAAACCTCAAACAACATTGACTCTCCAGAGCAATAATAAAAGAATAAGAATTCGGGATTAAAAGATAACAAACATATTATATTCCTGTTTCTTAAATTCTTCTCTTTCTATTCCTCTGATACAAAGTTAAGTTTGCACACTTGATGTTTTACATATATCAGTAGCAATTCAAAGAATTTTAAGAGGGATTCCAACAGTCAAAAATGTTTAACTGTACTTTCTGTTACACATTTCTGTTAGACAACTTAATTTGGTAAGATTTCTGCTAAGTCCCATACATTTATTATTCAAACATGTTTCAACTCTATTCATGGTACTTGTGTGAAATAGTATGAGATTGCTGCATGCATAGGAGATGTATGCCGTTGTATGGCAATTTTGGTGTCTGGTCACTTTGCTACAAAGTTGTTTCGCTGCATAATGAAGCCAATTTGCTGCAAAGTTGCAAAGTCGTTTCACTGCATCATGAAGTTGATTTGCTGCAAAACATTTTTCATTTCACTGCATACTAGGGTAAATTCTGTTCATAATAAAAGTTAAGTCTCTTCATACCTTGAGTATATGTTGATTATATTTTTGTAGAATAATTCTTTCAAAGTCTCTTTTCTTCTCGTAGTTTCAAACTTTGGTCCGAAATTGCACAGTACAGGTAAGAAACAAACCCAATGGCTCTTTTAAGAGCCACCGACTTAAACTTAAATCATGACCAATAAACAGTTATCTAATTATCTACCTTATCTACCTATAACAACAAAAATTGTTTGAATCAAAGAAAAACCCAAGATCATTAGTCCACAACGGTATCCCTGCAAAAATTAATTTTCGAAGATTAACTCAGCGAGGACGTAATGAACTCATTAGTATTACCTGTTTTTAGTTAATTTTAAGTGTCTTTTATAGGCATTTATACAAAAAGTCAATTTCAGTACCATCTGGACATGATGCAGTGAAATGACTTTGCAGCGAATCGACTTCATTTTGCAGCAAAATGACTTTTAGGGAAACAATTTGGAATGAACAACTGGTAAGCACAATTTTACCAGGAAAAGTGCCCAAAAAATTATTATGTCAGTTGTGTGCATGTCTTCTGTGATAATTATTTCAGTTTCAGCACGGTTAGACTTTCTTACAATTAATCAACCTCGTTCCCTGGGTTCTCTCCTATCTGTCCTGGGAAGAGGTTGACAATTACTCACATTTTCTCTGAGTTCTTGTTACCTTCTTCAATTCCAGTAACAATATCTCATAGGAATTTGTGACCATGATAAAAAGCATTAATTAGGAACGTCATGGGAGTTAATTCAATTTCCATACTTTTAGTTTTACCTTTGCCACCAGCATAACAATACAGGTCGTATACCAAAAGGGAGAAAAATATACATTGAAGTATAAAGACATCTGTAGTGCTAGGTTGGAAACTATTTCATTCCCTGGAAATAAAAGAAGAAACAGAAAACATCCTTATGAGCTTGTGTGGTTCATTAAGCTGCTATAAGCCTAGGCTTGGGTGAACAAGCATAAAGTTGGTACAGTACTTGTTATGTGGCGTCTTTGGATGTTTCGTAGCGCGCGTGAATTGGGAAAAACAGTCTCAGTTACAGAGTTAAATGCTGCTCTCAATGTCTCCGCCATGTTTGTTTTCCCTTCCCAGTGTGCTTAGTAACCTCTGTGCTATCCCAACATATCCTTGCGCTCTTGCAGTGGACAAGACAAGATGGCGCACCTCTTGCGAACGGGTAAATAAATGATAGACCACTTTGAAGTAATCTAGCCAGCGTTTTTTATACAGTTTTGTTTCTTGATATTCCCTCAGCATGGAAGATTACTGTTCCGAACTCCATGGCTGTAAGGACTCTCTCAGTCTCTTCTAGCAAATTCAAATTCAGTAAGTACAAATATCACAGTCGAGTTTTTGTGGGATGAATGAACCATAAATCTGATCTCAGTTTGTTTGTGTCGATAGAATACATCTCAAGAGAGAACCAAGACATACCGATGGATTTTCACAGTGCAACAGACCGGAATGCACAGACACTCTTCCTCACAGAGATGCTTCGAGGTATTTTGCAATCATCTCAGGTGTTACATAAGCTTAGTAATCATCTGTAATATTTATCCAGACAACAACAATAAAATAAAATCAGTCATTGATTTTAATCAATATCATCAATAACAATCAATAAAAATCTATTGATTAATATTGATTGGCCTAGCCAATCAATAAAAATCGTTTATCACTCACCAATGCGTCTAGACGTTATTGATTTTCATTGATTGCTATTGATAATCAATAGCTGATAGTGCAACAGTAAAAACCTGGGTAGGCATTTGCTTAAATGCCGCTATGTCAGTGGAAATTTCCATTTCCTGTGCAGTCAAGGGGTATCACCACTGCCCTTTTAAAGTAAAGGAAGGGCAAGTGTTTTCTGTTTCCAAGAAGCGGGGAGAGTTACACGGTAACACATTCAAAGAAAGCACAATGGGTGACATTTTAGTTTTCAATAAAAGTCAATAAAATCAATGTAAATCAATGAAAACTGAAAATCACTCAAGATTGTGGCTTTGACTTTTATTGATTTTCAATATCAATCAATTAATTACTATTGATTTTTATGACTATTATTGATGATATTGATCATTGATTTTGATTGAATGGTATCATCTAGTATTTATGTATGCGATTTAATTCCAGTCAGCTTCTGATTGTGATCAAATCAGGTACCAGGGGATATCATTCAGAGTTTTCCTTACTCCACTGTGGGACTATGTCAAAAAATTTCCTTGTAACCTCTTACATTACACACACCATTCTACCAAATTCCTTACAGGTAGACAGTGAACATGAATGGAGTGTTAAAAAAACACGTGTATTTAACAAATCATTCACATATATATATGTTATTCACCGGCTGGGAGGTCCGTATTGGGAGAAACTGTACCCGAGGTCTTGAACCTGATCTGTATAAGAATTTTGTATGGGAAAGTCTCGTTCGCCTGCAAATTTACATCATCTTTGAGAAGAAATAAAATCCGGCATGGTTTTGATAATATATATCTTGAAAACAATTAAGTTATGTGTGCTAAGACTATGTTTTAATGGAAATAACTGTGCAGATGATACTCTGTTTTATACCTATGCTCAGATATGAAGGTGTCAAACTTCACTTACAAGCAAACAGTGACTTGCAGTATCATATTCTTTTCCTCAAAGGTCTTGGTATGACTTTGAGTAAATTTTTTCAAGAACCAGCAACCATCAATTACCCTTTTGAGAAAGGACCACTCAGCCCCCGCTTCAGAGGAGAGCATGCCCTGAGGAGGTACCCTTCTGGAGAAGAGAGGTGCATTGCTTGTAAGCTGTGTGAAGCCATTTGTCCTGCCCAGGTGGGATACTAGAATTTGTTTAAAAGAACTGTAGTACTGTAAATAGAATGTCGGGAAAAGTGTTCACGTGAAGTAGGAAAATATCACATCATTTTATGTTCCTAGTACTCCAGTTTGGGAAATAAAAGAAAATACTGGTAGTTTAAATTTGCTGGTAAATATTTTTTTTTAGCAGAGTCTATAATTCTTCTTATTTAGGAAAATGTTAACAGCGTGTAAAGAAAATGGTGTCTGATAGTCTGGGGCTGGTGGATTTTGCTGTCGGGCTGGTGAATTCTGTTCTTAACTTGCCCGATTGGAGAGTGATTTTTTTGGGGGGGAATTCAAATTACAGAAGAACTGTAATCAATCCTGCTCATCAAATTTTTCTCGGGCTAGTACATGCTAGCTACAGCTTGCCAAATGGCAAGCTGTAAAACTGACTTTCTTTGCACCGTGGTTAAGCTTGCATCATTGTTATTTTGTTCTGCTGTACTTTATAGGCAATTACCATTGAGGCAGAACCTCGAGCTGATGGGAGTCGCCGCACAACACGCTATGACATTGACATGACTAAGTGCATTTATTGTGGCTTTTGTCAAGAGGCATGTCCTGTGGATGCTATAGTGGAGGTATTTGAAAGAAACCAATCAATCCTAAGCTTCTTAAATCTCTCAAAAGTAACCAGTAAGAGATAATATTCAGCATCAATGGAATAAAGGGGTCAAAGCTTAAAAGAAATTGAGTTGTGCATCAGTGGGACATTGAAACATAAAATTTGTCACTTAAAGAAAACCAAATATTTAATATTTAGTTTTATTATAAATATTTAGTTTTATTAGAGTGATTTTACCTAACGCATGAAATAGCTAGTAGAATACTATGCACTATTATGCACTATTATGTATTCTTTTGTTTACCTGTTGCTATTTTGCACCAGTTGTTTGTATCTGTTTCTTGGGTCAAGTAAAATCACTTTAAATGTTAACTCACCACCAAAAATAGAGAACGAAAGCTGACATTTTGAATACTGGCCCTTCATCAGAGTGAATCCAAGGGCTAGTACTAATGGAATGTCAGCTTTTTCATCTCTTGTTAGGAATGAATTTGCTTCATAACTTTTGAATTTTTGATGGTTTGTAAGAGATAGTAAAAGTACCTTTTTGTTCACATGAAATAAATTCCCTGTGGTACCTCTGGTTGTCTTTCATTCCATTGGTAGTGTTACACCTTTTGTGACTTTAGGTTTGTAAACCCCTGAATATAAGCCTCTCCAAACTACTATTAAGAACTATAAATTTGCTGAAAAGCTATGTGCCATAACAGGGTTGTCAATAAGGGCAGGTAGCCAGCTAAAACCGCCAGCTAGTTAGCCATCCTTAGCGGGCTACTTTCATCTCCTTCTACCATAACTGCTGACAAAAAATAGGCACCATCGAATAGAATTGTAAAGCATTCATTTCCCAGTTTTGAATGACATTGAATGCATATTTAAACAAGTTTAGATCCATGAAATGCTCGAACCGTACGATGTCGTGGAATGCCTGGGACATTTCAACAGCATTATTCCTAGTCTCGCGGGTATTCTGAAAAATCAACATGGTGTCCACATTGGAAAATTCCTCTTGAATACCCCTGGAAATGCCATTTCCAAGACTCTAAATTTTAAAATGTCCCTAGATGCCTCAGCCCTCAAGAAGTTGTTCCTTTGGTGCGAGTTCCAAATCCGCCTTCCATTCATTATCAGCCTGTGACTTAAAAACTTTTTGACAGCCCTGCATTCATTGTTCTTTTGCAGGGACCCAACTTTGAGTTTGCTACGGAAACCCATCAGGAGCTGTTATACAACAAAGAGAAACTTCTGAACAATGGTGACCGATGGGAAGCTGAAATAGCTGGAAATCTTCAGGCAGATTTTCTTTATAGATAAAGCACAAGTTTTACCAAAAATCGATTTTGTAAATTAACTGAAAATACCGATAGCTCTGTATTTTGCATGAGCTGCAAATTGATGTAACATTGTTTTAAACCTATGATTATAGTAGTGGATGAACATGTTACTACTTATAAGTGAACATAAGTGGAACTTGTAGCTTAGAGTCAGATTGAACTGATAAGTGTTGTGGATGATTTTCGGTATTTTAAAGGTTATATTGAGCAACTAATGCTGAGGGTTATCTTGAAGCATTTAATAACTGTGTTTGCAAATAAATTTAAAGATCTTCTGTTTGTATCTATATTTTGCTTTTTATTCTTACGTATTGACAAAATATATTTTGTTAAACCTCTTGTAGTAAAAACTTTCCATGAAAGGACACCACCTTGTGGTCCCAACAGTTCTAGCAATCAAACCTTCATTATTTTTATACTGTTGGCAGTCTCTTATTTTTCTTTTCAGTCAGGGTAGATTGTGAATACGCTCAAGGTGCAAGGGGTGAAGCTGCAAAGAATCTCTCCTCCTTGTTATCTCTGATTTGCACAATTTTACTTTATCGCCCACCACCCTTGGCTGTTAGGAAAGAATGACAAACTCTCGCCATCGATTTTAATCCCTGTTGGTGAAGATGGACACCTCCCTTTCCAGGGAGTGGACAGTAAAATGAATCAAGTTTAAAGATAATGGAACAGAAGTTCCAGGTGTTTCAAAAAAAATTGAAGTAGCTGGAAGGTTTGATTAGAGTGACAGTATCAACAAGGGGTCATTAGTCCCCTTTTTCTGAAGGGTCTGGGGGCATGTTCCCCCAGAAAATTTTAAAATTTCCAGCATGCTGGACAAAATTGTGTATTTTTCATTCAAGAAAGTGTAGCTTTCATCCAAATTTCAATTTATCAGGCACACAATCAACTCCTTCAAGCAATTAACACAAAAGACGATTATTCAATAATGTACATTTGCACGTAAACAAATTCTGGGTAAATCTATATAAAAAGGTGTGGAAAATTGACTGAAATATGGTGTAGACATAACCAACTACCTAAAGCGTACCATGAATCCAGTGGCTCTTTGTAAATTAGAACACTTTTCATAATTACGTTTTCATTTAGATGTTAAAATAGATTTTTGTTTATGACATTATTAAAACGTTATAGTTGCTTCTTCTTTCGCCAAAAAAGTAACCGACTTCTCTGAGCAAAGTACCTAATGTGTTTCATCGGTCATCGTTACTTATTGAAACCCCTGAAGTTCTTAAGAGCGCTATCTAAACAAAAACTCAATTGTAGCAAGTTAATAGTAAGTATATTTCAGTGAATAGGGCTCCAATAATAATATTATTGCACCTCTATTATTATTACATACATCATGTCTCCATATTGTGTTTGAAGTTTATCTAACTTTATCCAAAATCCAGTAAACAAAATGTTGCCTAGATGCAAGGAAAAAAGGATCTGACGAATTCTAGAAAATGATATTTCTTTAATGCAAATCTATCTCAACATTAAAATGCATACATAAATAGTCACTAAAAATTAAAGTTACATTAAACTTTCTTATTAAGAACCTTGATATAAATTTCAAAAAAGTGTTCAAAACTTTATACAAAATTTTTGTAACTGATATTTTGATAGATAGATAGATAGATAGATAGCTTTATTAAAAATCCATTGCAGCCCAAAGGCTGGATTACGGACTGTACAATACGTTGAATACTAAGACTAACTATTATAAATAAATATCAGTAAATAAATAAAACAAAGGAACAAAATACAAGGTCATGAAATTTAAGAAAATAGCCGCGAATTTACAATAAAACCATTAGAAAATAGCCGCGTTATGCATGATAAAACTATTCATTAGTCTATTTGTTCTACAAAGAGGAACGTTAAAAACGTGCTTACTCCTTAAGGCTACAGTACTAAGATTACGTGGCGGCAAAAGGCCATGTAATTTGTGGACAAATAAAAAGTTCTCTATTTCAGTACGGTCACCTGAGCATTATAACTTTAAAAACATTTTTAAATATGTTGAACATGGGAGGTACATGAATAAAATGTGATAAATATGGAATTTTTTAAGCAGAATTTGAGCTCAAGTTCCTAACAACCTATATTATTGGTGGGGATGAACATGTTACAAGGGGAAGGTTCTAATAATAATTTGACATCAATCAACACCCTGCCAAAAAAATAACAATAGTGATAATTTTCCTAAATTCTCTTACTCAAAACTATTTGAATTTGATGCACTTGAATCTGGTTTTTCAATATTTAAAAACTCATTAACAGTAACTGGAAATGAAGTTACCGGGCATTATCCCCTAAGAGCCTCTGCCCAGTGGGGACTGTCTGAATTTAAATTGGACATCTCTTCTGTCTGATTCTGATATTTCAACCAATCATGCCATAAGAATGTGCAATAACACAACGGGCAGTCTCCTTCTACTGGTATCAAGAACGAACTTTCCCCACTATCGAGGAGGAACCTTTTAGCCAGGCAAATTAAATGACCTTTCATTGGACAACTTCCTGAGATACAAGAGAGGCATTCATCTGCATCCTGCAAGAAAACAGAAACTGGTTCAACTATCTTAAAATCTTCTGAGAGCATAGTCTGGTGGTGAAAGACATGTACTCATCGTTGAATGTAAGTTCATTTACTAGACTGAATAATATTTTGTAAATATATAAGCAGTCACTAAATAAGTTGTTTCCTTAAACAGCGTGCAAAGAAAGTAGTGTCCGATAGCCCGGGGCTAGTGGATTTTGCTATTGGGCTAGTGAATTCTGTTGTTAACTTGCCCAACGGGCAAGTGAGGTTTTTTGAGCAATTCGAATAACAGAAGAACTATGAAATCAATTCTGCTCGTCAAAAAGCGTCTGGGGCTAGTTGAAATGACATCTGGGCTAGTAAATGCTAGCTTCAGCTTGCCCGAACGGCAAGCTGTAAAAATGACTTTCTTTGCACCCTGTCAAATAATACCTAACCAGTACAAAAACAGTATGCAAGTATACATCCATATCAACACTTTAATAACAAAGAATCATAGGTACTTCTGTACGCTATCAAAAAGGAAAACATGTCATTTAGCCACATTATACCATTGCTGCTTTTAAAAAAACTGGCTGTACCTTAATCCTTTTAGAACATTCTATGCATTTGTAGTTACAAACATCTTTTGACTCCTCACATTCCTCTTGGTTTCTCTTCTTAGGTTTTTTTTTATTTAGGAGTCCATATACTATAGGCATGTGGGTCGGAGGTTGCTGTTCAACATCAAACTCCATTTGGTATTCTTGNGTCCGATAGCCCGGGGCTAGTGGATTTTGCTATTGGGCTAGTGAATTCTGTTGTTAACTTGCCCAACGGGCAAGTGAGGTTTTTTGAGCAATTCGAATAACAGAAGAACTATGAAATCAATTCTGCTCGTCAAAAAGCGTCTGGGGCTAGTTGAAATGACATCTGGGCTAGTAAATGCTAGCTTCAGCTTGCCCGAACGGCAAGCTGTAAAAATGACTTTCTTTGCACCCTGTCAAATAATACCTAACCAGTACAAAAACAGTATGCAAGTATACATCCATATCAACACTTTAATAACAAAGAATCATAGGTACTTCTGTACGCTATCAAAAAGGAAAACATGTCATTTAGCCACATTATACCATTGCTGCTTTTAAAAAAACTGGCTGTACCTTAATCCTTTTAGAACATTCTATGCATTTGTAGTTACAAACATCTTTTGACTCCTCACATTCCTCTTGGTTTCTCTTCTTAGGTTTTTTTTTATTTAGGAGTCCATATACTATAGGCATGTGGGTCGGAGGTTGCTGTTCAACATCAAACTCCATTTGGTATTCTTGTTTCAGCCATCTTATTGTAAGAGGTAGACGATTCCATGGCCCAACATTAAGCATTGCAGACAGGACTCTGAAGCGATAGGCAACACAAGACTCTTTGGTCTTTTTATTGAAAACATGACGGAGACGTCTAGATTTTGTGGGGTTTTGCCATGCCCATTCAAACTGGAAAAAAAAAGTAATAATAAATTGCTGCAATATGTATTATGGTTCAGTGATATCCTTGTTCAAATTTTAACTTTAGGGGTTAGGGTAATGTATGATAACGTCAAGTTCAAAATATAAGAAAGCAAAATTGACCACTCCAGAAAGTACAATAACATAATGCTCTTTGCTTGTCACCCCAAACTTTTGCATAAGCATTGTCTTCAGTTTCTCTTGGGAGTTGAAATGGCCCCAAGAGAAACTGAAACAGGGGCGGATCCAGGATTTTTTTTAGGAGGGGGTGCACTCGTCCCTTGCTCTACTTCAACACCAATAAACCACACAGTTTTTTTTTTGCAGAATAACAGTTGTATTAGAAAACCACAGGTCATCTCAGGGAGGGGGGGTGCACACCCCCTGCACCCTCCCCATAGATCTGCCCCTGTGAAAACAATGCTTATTGTACAACAAACAAAGAGCATTGTGACCCGTAGATATATATTTTTTAGCAACTAATATAATTTGCAGTCTGTCTACTTTGAAATGGTACGTTATGGTATTCTCTAGAGTGGTTAATTCGAACCAAGATAAAATTGAACCACAACATTTCAAAAGACATTTAAATTAAATTGTTACCTGTAGAGCAATTATATCACTAGGAAATCCATGGACTATCAAAATCATCTCCCTGCAAGTAATAAATACATGTGTAGTAAGGCTTTTATAGAAAAATCTGTACTCCTAGCTCCGGTCATTGAAAATTCCATGGAAAGATACAAAGAGGAATTGAAATCGGTTCAAAAATAAATCATGCTTAGAGTATATATTTCCCTACTAACGTAAGCCTCTAACGAAAAATTGAAGTTTAAAGAGGCTTAAGAGTAGCTTCCTACAATAAACCTATAATTGCTTTTCTTTTTTTCATGATATAAGTTTAAGCCTAGTTACAACGTACCACGGTCCTCTTCCACTGGTCCTAAAGGCACCTCCTTTCTGTACACCACCATTATGCTGTTTGATTCGGCGATTGGGATCAACGGTAAATCCAATGTAGGTGCGTCCCTTATATCGAGGATTTAGACAATATAGAAGGTAAACTCCGTAGAAATTATCCCCTGTATTGTTTACACAATCGTCCATTTCTTTCATCCGCGATATTTTTTCGAATTCGTTGGCCGTGAGGAACTGAGCTGGAGAATAGTCCCAGGCCTTCTCGACTTGATTAAATATTTTTAGGAGATGCACTGAAATGTGATATTTTGCAAGAAGATGAAGGGATGCAACGCCTCC